GGGGGGGCCAGACGCAAAAACTGAAACTAACACATTTCATTAACAAAAATAAAATAACAACCTGTGAATGTTATATTAAAAAAAACTTATGAAAAATATAATTATTGCCTTTAAAACGAACCGGAATAAAAATAAAAATGCACCAAATTATATTTTTTGTTTGTGATTATTTTGGTACACCTACGGCTTCTAATATAGACTAATGAATATATTTGTTTTGTACGTTGTCAAGTCAAGTAAGTCAAAATACGAAAATAAAGTTGTAGCAATACAAGATTAATTGTCCTAATATTTTGAGAATAAAGTCGTGTATTGCATGAATAAAGTTAATAGGCTAATGATTGGAAATAATATTTCACATTCAAGTCCATTCATTATTCGTAGAGCACAAGGTACCCTGCTTTTTGCTTTCAAATTTTTAAAATTTTGTGCATAAAAAACACGTTTGTATTTTGTGATAAAATTTACAGAAAGCTGAACATACAACATTTATTGCGATAATTGGGTGGCTTGTGCACTACGAATAATAAATGGAGTTGAAGATGCGAAATATTATTTACAATAATTTATACGTCAATAAAACGGCTTGTGAACAGTCACTTAAAGTTACATACATCAGAAAAAATATTGCTTTTTTATGTTAAATCCATGTGAAGAAAGAAAGGTTAGATGCCATAGACGTTTTTTAGTTTTTTTTAGTAGATGGTGGAATTTTCACATGAATTAACTCATGCAACTCAATTATTCATGCAATACACGATTTTATTCTCAAAATATTATGACTTCAGTTTCCTATTGCTACGACTTTATTCTGTTTTTGTTTTTGGTTTTTTTGGTTTTTTTACCTAATTCTCAAAATATTATGACTTTAATCTCTTAATCTTGTAACGTGGCAGTAAAACGCCATCGCGCGAAGCGTCCTATGAATGAATGATAATAATGATAAAGGTACTGGCCATTTTCTGCCAGGATATCTGTTCATTTTATGTATTTTTCATTCCTAAAACACAAATTCACAACGAAATGCCTACGGGTAATATAAAAATTTAATTACTCGTAAAATACAGGTAAACACGTAAAAATTCTATTAAAAATAAATACATCTGGAAAATGCTCTACAGTGTCCTGGAAGGAAAGGTATGACAGTACTGAACATTAAATTCGTTCAAAGGACACTTAACATAATAAACTGAAAATCTGTGTTTATTTAATTCAGTTGGTCACAATATTATCACATACTGAAAGAGGAACCACTACACAAGGACTTGGTGCAGTGTGTATGTACAGGCACACATCCACACGTTGATAAATGCAAATATTATGACCAGAAGAAACATGTTTAAACCAATGTTATGACATTAAAAAAGAACATTGTATTACTCTATCTGTAACAAATCATGCAAACACACAATAATACAAAGTCACAACCTTTTGCTTTGGGGAATGAATATACAGTGTCTGACTAATAGAGAAGAATACTGTAGCTCAATCTGTACAAAATCATGTCAACACACAATAATACAAAGTCACATCCTTTTGCTTTGGGGAATGAATATACAGTGTCTGATTTGGTGAAGTGTTAAATGCCTTTTCTTTTGACTCGCAAAGATATTGACAATTTTTTCTGGTGAGAGTGTTGCTGTAATTTCTGCTTCAATGTGAAGAATTCCAAGATCAGGAAACCTATGTTCACTCATGGTTGAGCGTAGCCAGTTCCGAATTCTCCGCATTGCTGAAAAACTCCGCTCTGATGTTGCTGACCCAACCGGGAGGGTCAGTGCCAGCTGAAGAAGTTTGTACAAATTTGGATATGTGTCCTTTTTCACAGTATTCTGAAAATGTGTGAATGCAACAGGAGTCACAGTGGCAGAGGCCTTCACAAGGTCTATCTCTGCTCTCACCAGAAGTGGGTGAATGCACAGTGGTTCAGCATACTTCTTTAGAAGATGATCAATTCCTCCTTTCTCACATTTAAACACTGCGTCACATGCTTTTGCAAGGTCAATGGCTTCTCCTGTGAAACGCCTGTCAAGCTCAGAGATCACAGCATCCAACACAGGAAGATAGAGATGCTGTTGCATTTTCAATGCAGAGGATTTTGATGTTTCAGTATGTGTTTCACCTTCGCTCTTGTCTCTATGGCCCAGTGAAGTATGCACAACGTAACTGTCCAAGGTATAAGGGGTTTTAATAACCTGCTTTCGTTTGCATGGTAGTTCATCAGGAACCTCTTGCTGTGCATCCTCTAGCTCTGCCACATTGCTTGTTTGGCATAATTCTTTCACTGTGCACCACACTTCTTTCCATGCGTCTTCGTCTCTTCGAGATACCACATGCGCTCGTATACCACAGGTTGCTTTGGTTGCATCAGTGAGAGTACAACTGGTGGACTGATGGGCCTTGTGTGCAACATGCACAACATGCAGAAGGCCCTCGAATACAACAAGAAAAGTAATCAATTCAACCCTGTTCATGTGATCATAAAGGCCAGTGGCCTCAATGGCCCATTTTTCTCCTTCGTCACTCATTTCTTTCAAGGTGTTTGTAATTGCGGAGTAGTGCGTTTTAACAGAATTCACACATCGCCACTTACATGCCCACCTCGTCTCACTGGGCTTTACGATTTCAGTTTGTTTTATGTTCAGGGCTTTCTGCATTTCAATGAATCTATGATGATTAGAAGGCTCTGCAAACACTGCATACAGCTTGTCAAGTACACTGAAGAATGTTTTCACAGTGCAATTTATGGCACAACATTCCACTAGGACCAAGTTCTATTTGTGTGCCATGCAATGTATATACGCCGCATACGGGTGAACCTCTTTGATGCGTTGCTGCACCCCTGAAACCTGCCCCGACATTACGGATGCCCCGTCGTAACTCTGAGCAACGATCGGTATGTTTTCAAGTCCACACGTTTTCAGTCCCTGTCTTATTGCGTCTACAATTCCAACAGCATTACGGGAGGCCGAACAATCAATGAAGCACAGGAATCGTTCTTTGATTTCAAGTTTCTCAGCATATCTTAAGCAAACAGACAGTTGTTGAGTCTTGGATGATTTCGCCTCATCAGCAATTATTGCAAAAAACCCAGTGTCCCGAATACTTTCAGCAATTTCACCACGGACTAATTTCTATAACTTTGTTCTGAAAATCTGGACTGGTGTATTTAAAATGAGTGGCGTGCATCTTCTCAAACTCTGTGTCATACTTTGAGAAGAAGCTACATACCTCAAGAAAATTCCCTTGGGATTCAGAACTTTCCTTATATTCCCTGTGTCCACAAAAAGGCAGTCCAAGACGAGACAGTAATTTTATAATATCCACCACTTTGCACAGGTAAGACTTGTTTCTCTCAACCATGCTTTTATGGCTCTCAGACAGTTTAACCACGACAGATCCTGAACAGGTGCTCTGCTTGTAGTTTTCCCATTTAATCATGCAGTTGAGATGGCTCTGAGAGGTTGCATGTTTCGTGAGTTTAGTGCTTAATTTTTTCCAGTCACTCACACCTCTCACAGTAAAAGAATCCTCCACACTCTGTCTCTGAAAATGTCGACACGCAAAACAAAAAACAGTGTCTCTCTCAATGGAGTATTCCACCCAGGGATATTTAAAATAATGAGTGGAAAATGCTCTTTTCCTGTCTCCAAATATTTTTGTTGGAAATTCTGGTAAAACAGGCTGCTTTGGTCCAGATGGTTTCTCACCGAGATCACCGGGCGTCACTCTTGCTGACAATGAGAGATGGGTGGGGCCTGCGGATCACTTTCACTAAGCAGCCCGGGCCCGGGATCAGCACGCATGGCATCTTCCTCTGGCTGCTTTTCATTGCGTTCATTTTGCTTTGAAATCGGTTTTAAAAAACGACGTATATCCATGTTTGACAAGCCATTTAGCATAGGCTACAGTAAATTTCATTTGCTAGAAAGCGCCAAAATGCAGTGTCATCACGTAAAAACTTCGAGATTGAGGGAGGGGTTAGTAAGTTTAATTGGATTTATTTACATAGTAAAATTTTAAAATATAAAATAATACCTACATTTTAACTAATGGGGGGGCCAATCCCCCCCGGCCCCCGCTCAAGCTCTGCCCATGAAGCCACAGTATTTGTTACTTTACCATATTGTGGAACATTTGCATGGGACTGTAGGAATCTTTTGTTTAGTACAAAAGAAAACTACAGTATTATTATATATGATAGAGGAATACAAATACAATATTTGTGTTATACATCATTCTCATTAAAAGCCATTTGTTCGTTTAAGGGCAATATAGGTTATACACATTAGGGGTATATCAGTTTTCCCATGACAGAGTTGAATTACTGACCTTGATTTTAACCCAGTATGTGTAACATAAATACAAATTTAAGCAAATCACTTCTGAGCAGCATCACTGTAAATATCCCGCTACAGTCCAGCAACATTTGCTTGTACTTCCTGCTTCCCTGTGTCTGGTGTGGCATTGAATTTATATGCAGCATTAACAGATAGAAGCTTTAGTGTTTGTAATGCCTTGGCTAGATCAATGCTGTCCCATAACACGCCTCTAATATGATGTGATGTGACCAAAAGCTGCACTTTCATTGACGACAATACTTCTTTTGAAGTGAGGTTCAGCCTACTGAAGTCTTTGGATTGAGACATTTTTATAACTGCAAAGACCATTTCTGTTCGAATGTGCAAGAATTTTCCATTGCTGATATTGTGTGACTGTGTGCTGACACTGTATAACAATAGTGAGGTTGACAACTATTACTGAAGATTTTTTTTCTTTCTCTTTCTTTTAAAGATCAAAAATGAAACTGCTCACACTGACATTTAGTACAGTGCTTCACATGACGTTTTCCTGTAATGCTCATGTTTCATATATTGTAATTTCCCATGTAGGTGTTAATTTTCATTGCATCTTCTTAGCTTAAAAATCTCAACAAAAAAAATAAACTTTTTAAAAATTATTTGTGTGCATTCTATCTTGATTTTGTTTTGCATTCTCAGCTGTCCGGAATGACAGGAATAAGAAGAAAAAGGAGATTCCAAAGCAGGATTTGGCCGAAAGTTATGAGCTGACAGCAGAACTAGAGACCATCATTGAGAAGATACAGAAAGCTCACCAAGAGACGTTTCCTTCACTCTGCCAGCTGGGCAAGTACACCACGGTGAGTCACTCTCACTCACTTAAAGAGCTCGTACAGTGGCACCAAAAAGTATTTCGGTGCTAAAGTCACACCAGCATGAGGGTCAGAGGGGAGGTGATAAGCACACACAGGTCTCATACAATAGTGCTTTTGTTGTGAATAGTGCAGAAGTAAGAGGTGCTTGACATAATAGTGCAAAAAAAATATATAGAAATATGTAAGAAGAAAAAATAGTCAACAAATATTTACAAAAATCTATTTACAAATGTTCAGACTCAGTATTACCTTTGTTGAACACATACAAGTAATATTCTCTGAGCCCCCTCCCCACATTCACTGTGATTTATCACATATATTATTTAAAAAAACATCATTAATCTCTCATTACACTTGTGAGAACTTCATATTATAATTCAGATTGACATGTAGATACTGTCTCAGATAGCTCTGCAAAGTCCCTGACATATAAACACTAGGGGTGGAACGGTTCAACTTACTCACGGTTCGGTTTGTATCACGGTTTTAGAGTCACGGTTTCGGAGCGGTTCGGTATGTTCTATGTTTAGGGAAAAACTATACTGTCAAATAAAAATAAAGAAAATAAGAATAATCTATCTAACTACAAGCAACAGCACAATTAAATACAATAAAGATACAAATAAAATAAAAGTGATTTTCAGGTTTTTTTTTAGGTAGGTCTAACGTTAGTTTTTAGGTACAGAAATTGAATAAAGTAATGAAATGTAAAACATCATTGCATATTTCACTGTATGAGTGAATTCTTTGTTGTTGCTGTTTGATTAATAGTGCTGTCACTTTAAGAGAATGCACTGATACAGTACGTTCAGCCGGCTATGTCTGCTATATAGGATACTTACCAAGACAGGCATTTTGACAATTTTTGTGTGAATTGGTCCATTTAAACACAATACTTCAGAGAGAGCTTAATATTTTTTTTTTTTTATTGAGAGAGCTTAATATTTGCGCGTGTTCTGAGGTGCGGGTTTGCGCGCTTCGGATGAGCGCACGCACAAATCTTCTCACTGCGCGCACGAGCTCGCGTCCTCTGGCTCTTAAATGTTTAAACTGGCAAAGCTTAAATGAGTTTAGTTTAAACACAGATATCAACATGTGCTGTTCAGGTCTCACCTGTACGCACGCGCGCGCGCTATCAGCACCCAGGTGATGACATAATAAATGACTGCTTAGCATACGGCATTCACATTGAACAAGAGTGAATGGTTTGTCCATGTTTTTTTTTTCAGCGCTGTTGTTGTAATGTACTGGGAAGCCAGAATTCAATTCAATTCAATTGCCAGCTTTTAGAGCCTGTCTATAGCTGGACATACTGTTTTTCCACGCAATTCTAAAAACTTTTAAGTTAGTTTTTCTCCATTTGCGCTCAAGACTACGAGTTTTTTTCTTGAGAGAATTGGTATTACTGTTGTACCATGGCGCAGTACGTTTTTCTCTAACCTTTTTCAATTTGATGGGGGCAACAGCTTCTAATGTATAATATATGTAAGATACTGCCCATGTTGCTAGTCATTTCTTAAGATCGCGTCCTGGGTGCACCGGAGAAACACACGGAGTAGAGGTGGTGGGAGGGTTAGCAGCGCGCTGTATACTTACCTCGGACTTGTGAGCGTCAGCCTGGGATGTTTCCAGCGCGGCTCTCCGCTCTCTCAGCTGGGTCTGCCTCTCCACCAGGATCTGCTTCTCCACGGCATCCAGCTCGAGCTGCATTCGGTGCCAACATGAACGTGAACGTGTCCTCACCTGCACTCAAAGGTAGACACACATCCGCCATTAAAGCAAGTAACAGTGAGTAAAACAACGCTAATGTGTGTGAATAGAGTATTAGCAATGTAAGCGAGATTAGTGGCAACCACACTGGCAATGCTAACGGGCTATGCTAATAGCGGACTCGGGAAATCAAAATAAAACTAGTGATAACAAGGCGCTCTGATTGTTTTTGTTGTAGAATACGATAGGGGATATATTCACACATTATAGAAACGAAAATAATGGTGTATAAAATTGATTTTAAGATAAAAAAAAATAGACGATAAAGAATTAACTTGACGGAGCTCAAACTCAAAACACACGGCCCTACAGAAACCCTACAGAAACATACATTAGCCGAACCCTGTTTGTTTTACGTGCTATTTATAGCAAACCATATTACATATGCGTTGTAAGATTTAAGTTGAACCGCGGTCCTAGCGCGTGCCGAACCGTGTGTGGAGAACCGTACGGTTCGATTTTTTTCCGTGAACCGTTCCACCCCTAATAAACACTAGATGTAGGGGAGTGTTGTCTGAATGACAGCCGCTCCAGATGAGATTTTATGATTTTATTGACAGCGAGTGTACTGTATATTGAGTTATGTTACAGGGCAGGGGCTCAGTAATCATTTCAGAAGTGAGGGGGACAGAAATGTCAAATGTAATAATAATAGTAATGTTTATTTATGTATGCTTGTCTATTGACAAAAAAAATTATTATGTCTTACTTTTAATTGGCTAAAAAATCAAATGCACTGCTGGACAATAACCAATCATTTGTATTCTATAATATTTATATATATATATTTTCCTAATGACAATTTTATGATTATGATTGGTTTATATACTACAAACACTTTTTCCATTTTATCACAGAATAAATCAGAAGATATATTTTATAGCTTCTGTACTGTAATGCTATGTCAGTTAGCACTGAATCTTTCATATACTTTATTTATTACCTGGAGAAGTATCTCTTATCTCTTCTCTACTGGACTGATTTCACACGTGCCTCAGTACGCGGTCACGCAGAGGCGTTCCCATAGAGTTTTCGACGCAGCATCTCATTCCCTTTGGGGAACCATGGTTACATACGTAACCTAGAGACGTTTTGTGTTTTGATTCAAATAAAGTTAACATTGACCAGCCACATATCACATTGTTTATTACTTATCAGAGCTATTGAAACCGAAGATACAGACTAAATAAAACCAAATAATCCACACATAAGATTAAATCAACAGATGCAAGGAGTATGTTTATTCTAACTATATAGAGATTTTTACGGACGAAATTAACAAATATCCTGCTCATTTTTCTCACTTTGAAGCAGAGCCTACTGCCACATAAACCTCCATGCGATCACCTAAACATGAGCTACTGTTAATAAAAACTGCTCAAACACAGTTTTATCCAGGCCCTGTTCCAGAAATAAATAGAGATATAGAGATAAATAAATAGAGAATAGATTGAGGGTGCTTCAGAAATTAGTGAGTGTGCTCTGCCAAATGAAAGTAGCACATACATTTTCACGTATATTGTTGTCCCGTCCATTGCTCTTTCGGGTGTGAATCCCGCATAAATATGCGGATGTCATTCCCAAAACTTTGCAGTGTGTATGTGGCCAAAAAAAAAGTTTTAAACAAATTCTGAATGGATTATATATATCCTAGAAAGCACACAAAGAGCACTCCCTTTATAATCACTAAAAACCTGTCCCTCATCTTAGTTCATCTCAATCTCATGAAGTTTTGTTATAATGAGAGGATTCACGAGCTTGCAAAACTCAGCAATGGACAAAAACTCTGGTGATTTGAGCATTGAGTGGATTCTAACTTAAGCGCCTCTGGCAATTGTGTTTAAGAAATCAACATATTTGTCAAGTCAAGTCACCTTTATTTGTAGCGCTTTATACAATACTGGTTGTGTCAAAGCAGCTTTACAGAGTCAAACAGGAAAATAGTTGGTCAATAATGCAAGAAGACAATAACAGGGTCATTTTCCAGCTAAAGTCAGTTCATCGATGATACAGTGATGTCATCATCCAGTTCAGCTGTCTTCCAATAGTTTCTGTGCAATCAGTCAAGCGTCCCCAACTAAGCAAGCCAAAGGCGACAGCGGCAAGGAACCCAAACTCCATCGGTGACAGAAAGGGAGAAAAAACCTTGGGAGAAACCAGGCTCAGTCGGGGGGCCAGTTCTCCTGTGGCTTGACGAAACCAGCATGGCGTGGTTTAATTCCAGGCTGCAACACAAGTGCAGAGGACTTGTCTGGTGACCTCTGAGATATGTGTGTGATTGGCTACATTGCTCAACGCTGTAAAAAACACAATGTACAGTAAATAGAAACCTTTTGATGCTCTTCAGAGGGCAAACACAAATATGCAGTGGATAGTTTGCCAGATCTGTTTCGCCAATATGATAGTGAATAAAGATAAACTCGAGATATTATTTATCTGCGCCTATGCTACAGAAACAGATTTTGCCTTTGCTACACACCCCTAGTTTGTGACATAGTTATGATGATGTGGTGAAAAATGTCGAAGCAGAACCGCTGTCAGCAGGGATTTGAATCTGACAAAAAAGGTTAGTGGTGAAACATCACAGAACAGCGGGACTAGTGTGCTCAATCTGACTTGCAGCCTGGAATTAAACCAGTGGTTTCGTCTGGCCAGAGGATTTCTCTGGTTTCTCCCAAGGTTTTTGTTCTCCATTTCTGTCACCGATGGACTTTAGGTTCCTTGCCACTGTCGCTTTTGGCTTGCTTAGTTGGGGAGGCTTAATTTCTAGCAATATTGTCGGCTTGATTGCACAGACAGTATTGGAAGAGCTGAACTGGATGATGACATCATTGAATCATCAATGAACAGACTTTAAATGAAAAATTTAGTGTTTGTTATTGTCCTCAGATTATTAAAAACTATTTTCCTGTTTAACACTGTAAAGCTGCTTTGACAATCTGTATTGTATAAAGCGCTATATAAATAAAGGTGGCTTGACTTGACTGGAGTGATGAGTGTTGGTTTTACAGTCAGGTGAAGAGAGAGATGTACACAAACACACAGGTGAATAAGCACATGCTGCTACCAAGAATAAAGATGCTGGTTATGTAGGTTGTTGTAATGTTCCTGTGGCTCAGTGGTAGAGCATTGCATTAGCAGCGCAAACTGGTAAAAAAAAAATGTATATCCTGAATGCACTGTAAGTTGCTTTGGATAAAAGTGTCTGCTAAATG